TTACATGCTTTAGATTGAAATGGGGAAACTAGACATACAAGTCATTCCTATTCAAAGGAAGGAGCTTTTGGCATGGTGGGTAAACATGACAAAGGACAACAAAGCATACGTAAGGGAAAGGCTCGGGTATTTATTCAAGCTCATCAACCTGGAGTACCAAGTGAGTCTAATCCAAGCATTATCCCATTTCTGGGAAGTTACCACTGCCACATTTCAATTGGGCGAGCACGAGATGGTACCTACACCAGAAGAATATAAGGCAACCATTGGAATTGATTTCGGGTCAAGAACCGTTGAGCCCCCAGTTGGATTGAAACCCACAAGTGTTATAGCTGAATTTTTAAACTTGAAGACCCTTCAAGTGGAAAAGTTGATCAAATCAAACACCGGGAAATTTCCTCTATCTTACTTGGTGGACAATTACTCCAAATTGCCGAAAGAAACGGAAAACACTTCTGCGAGGGTTTTTATTCTGGCCTTCTTCGGATTCGTTTTATTTCCCGTATCAAGGACGAGATTAAATCCTCTTGTTGCGGTAATTGCTAGGCAAGCTTGCCTAAAATGGGACTTCTCCAATATGCTCTTGGCAGAGACCGTCATTTCATTAAACAAATACCAAAATCAATAAAAGGGTATACTGCAAGCTTCAGCTGGGTTACTTTCTGTATGGTTTATCTTCCATATTCGGCCTTGGGAACGTTATATGCGCATTCGAGATCGACTCATCTACTAACCCTCTTGAGAAGTATTTGAAACTCCAAGACAAAATGCCAAAGTACTCTTTTCATGAGTGGGCAAACTTCATTAGAGCATTAACTCCTGATCAGCTTCAATAGAGAATTCAATGGCCGAAGATAACCGGAGCTCAAATTACTACCCAAGACGGTAATTTTGTGCCTTTACTAGGATTGAGTGGCAGAACTGCTTATTGCCCACTAAGAGTCATGCGACAATTCGGAATGGTTCAACAAATTCCACCTATTTGGCATCCTGAGGAGTTCACATTTGAGATACCGCAAGGACCTATACCGGAAAAGAAAAGTAAAGAGCTGTGAACAAGGGTCGATGGGATCGTGAATTCTTTAAAGAGATCAACCAAGCAAATAGTACAATGGCCGGAAGATTTGGAAGGAGAAATGAAACTCTTTTTGGCATCTAATGAGTATATAAGGTGGTTGAAGGCTAAGCGACCAATTGACGTCGAACCTTATGTACCTTTGAGTGTTACAACTTATTCTGATGAGCTGTATATCCCGGAGTACATTGTGCCAAACACACCAGGTGTATAGCCGTATGTTCCCGAGGAAGTGGTGATCGATGTTGAAGAATGGGAGACACGAGTCAAGGAGTATGAAGAAGCTGAAGCTACCTTAGCTAGCAAGAAGCCTAGACTTGTTTAAGCTAGTATTTCCCTATTTTGATGAATAACATTGTAATAAAATTTTTCCAAATTGAAACAATTGCTTAATGACCAATTGGTTAATGAAGTTTCAAAATATTTTTGTAGAATCACCATGGATTACAATTCTTTGAATTGTATGATTCCTTGAGAAAGACATTGATGAAGAATTTTATACAAAGCTAAGGCTTGTATGAAATTTCTCATCCTTGACAATCTCATGAGACCATACAATTAAAAGAATGTAGCGTTTCATGATCATTTTACTATACTAATATCGGGTCTTTTTTGGCAAAACAGGTTCTTTAGCAACGGAAGGTAAAAGACCTCGGACTCGCCTATAAGTAAGAATGGCGGAAGAAGAAACCTGTGCTCGACTAGTTCAAGTCGAGAATCAAATGACCCAAATGGTTGAAATGATAGAGGAAATGAAGGCTTTTATTCTCGCATCTTGAGGATCTTATCCTACTACTCCAAATGTGGGAGCTGCAAACGCTACTGAAACACCAATTGAAGACCCAGTCAGAAACAAAGAACCTGTGACATTATGAATTCGACCCACTTTCGGGATCAATGAAATAGATGTGTATTTCTCATTTCGTTTTAGTAAGTCTCGCCCGGAGCTGATCACTCTCGGGATACTGACCCATAGGGAATGGCTAACTAGGAAAACGGTAGGTGGACCCAAGAACTCGACTGCAAATCGAGCTTCGATTCCGAGGAACGACGAGGGAATATTTTGGGCCAATGCGGGCCGATCCAAGGAGGGCGACGGATTTGGTTTGCCAATGATGTACGATCGGATTCGTGGGTGATTCTGCACGACCAAGAGTACGCGTGGCGACCGATCCTAAACTTACTCCGAACGATCGCGACCCTCGGAACTAGCAATAAATCCTAGCGTTCTCTTGGAAATCGAGACCGTCACGACTCGAGTGACCCTAGATCGATACGCGTAACCCCGAAAAAGCCGCCCGTTAGTAAGACACGCTAAAATCGCATTTGAGCGAAATTGATCGTTGAGTTGAATCCGGACTTGAGTGTCGAATTTCACGGACGTACGCGACTAAATTGCAAGGACGACGTCGTATTAGTGTGGCCAATCATATTTTGGATCGGTATGATCGAAAAATGGAATTTTGGACCAGGAGTGGAAAATTACCGTTTTGCCCTTGGACCCTAAGCCTTAATTCCGAATTATTGGAGGGTATTTTGGACTTGTTCAGCCCCATTAGTGGCCGAAAATGTTGGTCAATAAAGCCCCCAACACTCTTGCTCATTCCCCATTTCACCCTTAGATATTTTGATCTAGAATGAATCCTAGCCCTCGGTTTTGGATAGAAGTGATGGGTATTTGAATCTTAGCCATTGGATTAGAATTATAGTGGAGTGCGTAGTCTTGTACTTGCTAGGGAGTTGATCACCTAACCCACTCAAGCCTTTTTTTTATCAAAACTCTCTCTCTCTCTTTCTCTCTCTCTCTCTCTCTCTCTCTCTCTCTCTCTTTCTCTCTCTCTCTCTCTCTCCCATCACTCCCCCTATTCGGCCGACCAAGCCCTCTCACCTTCTCCATTTTCTCTCTTCCTCCTTGGGCACGTGAAGAAGCCAGCCCCGCCGGAGCAGCCCAAGCCGCGGCCACGCTGCGCCGCCGGATCCGCCAGCCACGCCACCACCTCACACGCACCACCACCACTCGGCCACCTCACCCTCACCATCTCTCTCTCTTGCATTTCGGCACACCACCAGCACCGACCAGTAGCCTTGGCCGCGCCATCGCCGCCCAAGCGCCGCGGCCGTCGGCCGCCCGTCCGCCTCACTCGCCGCCACCACAGCCACCATCACCTTTCCCCTCTCCTTCCCACGGCACCATCACCATCACCATCATCCTCACTCGCCGTCCGACTCAGCCGTGACACCACCAGCCCGTCGCTGCCGCCGACCACCGCCCGTGGGAGCCGCCGGAGCTCCGCTGGTCCGGCGTGAACCAGCACCGCCCAACCCATCTTTCTCTCTTGTTCGGCCTCATTTGGAGCTTAGGATTTGGGTGAGTAAAAATCCTAAACCCTAATTAGGATTTTGTGCATTTTTAGACAAGTTTAGGGGTTAATTTTGGTGATTTAGGGGTTAATTGTTGGCTGATGATTAGGGCTGATCATGTGGTGATTTTGGTGGCCTAGTGTGATGATTTAAAGGTGATTTAGAGGCCTAGAGTGATGATTTTGGCTGATTAATGTGGGCTTGATTGGACTTTGTGTGGCTAATCTATGGCTTAAATGTGAATTACCATGTGTGATTCAATTGGGCCATGAAGAGGCTGGTTTGCGCATGGTTATACATTAATTATGTGATGCCATATTGAGTGATTGGTGTGGCCGAGATATGTGAGGCGTTGTGGGCCATAGGTTCGTGTGATTTTAATAACTTAATTGCATGGTCTTTGGTGTGTCAATTTATGTACCGTGGCTGAATTGTGTTAAATGGTGATTTGGGCATGTTGATAAGTTGAATTATAGTGGATTCAATTGGTGTCCCAAGTGTTGGATGATGTGACCATGATTTGTGCATAATGAGTGTTGCCATGTTATGTGAATCATGTGAGATTATACGAATGGCACTGAGCATGTGGTCACCTAAAATGCCCTAAGGCGTCGTTTACGCGGGGTTCAGATAATAAATTGGTGAAGTATGCACGTGTGATCACATAAACCCTGAGGCGTCGTTTACGCGGGGTGTTGAACCCGTCCTGAGGCGTTTAACGCGGGACGATGCCCGGATTACCGGAAGATGGCCAACCTGAGGCGTCGTTCACGCGGGTTGTGTCATAGACCTTATGCGTTTAACGCGGGTCGGGGATGAATTGGAAAGTGATAGACCTGATGCATTTAACGCGGGTTGATGATTAAATAAGAAATTGGCTCGTGTGCGAAGTGCATATTAATGAGTATGAGCATGTGCATGGCAAGTGATTGTGGCCAATTGAGAATGTGTATATGCCATGATTGATTTTCTCGGTGTCATTATTATGTGCCTAACCTGCAGGGTCGTGCATAGATTTGATTTGGGTCCGATGGCCTAAGTCGTTTGTGTACTGTATGATTGGTTAGTTGCTTGTCTGGAGGTGCATGTTAGCCTAGTTTAGGTTTAGGGGGCCTACTTACTGAGATTCGTTCTCACTGTTGTTAAAACCCAACATTTCAGACCCCTAGCCTTGAGGATGGCAGGCGTACCGTTACGTTTTGGGATCCCGAACCGTGTAGACCGTTCGGTGACCGAGTACCCCGGTTGGAACGGGGAGGCGTATTTTAGGTTTTATACTATTGTTTGGGTCGACGAGGGCGGGCCACAGCTCAAGGCCCATCCCTATCTAGGTTGGTGCTACCGAGACCAGACTGGCTTTTACGGGCCCCTTAGGACCTTCGATATCTCGTTCAACGGGTTAGGCAAGTGGGACCCACATCCTGCCGATGGTGAGATAGTGAGCCCCGACGCCGTGTCCGAGACGGATTCTGACCCCTGGTCAGTCATCTTCGAGTTCGACATGGATTCCGACCTTGAGGAGGAGGAGCCGATGGAGTGGGAGTCCGATCCCGAGCCGGAGCCGATGGAACTGGAGTCAGAGCCGGATGATGATCCCGAGGAGGAGCCATTGGAGGTTGAGTCCGAGTCTGAGTCTATGAATTCTGAGTCCAAGTCGTCCGATGATTTATCTGAGTCTTCGGGATCCGACCCGGATTGGTTACCCTAGGGGTTAGCCTTGAGCATAGTTAGGGTTTAGGGCCGACACTTTTTGGAATGAACCCTTCTTAGATCTAGTACCTGACCGCTCGAGCCACGTACCCCTTTTTGATGTTAGTGGCTTGCTGACCCGTTTTGGTTTATGTATATTTTTGTTTCAAATGGATATTATAAATCCTCCCTTGTTTAATGTAAGTATGTGTTTATGATATTTGTTGCTACCTTGGTCATGTTTTAATTATGTACGGGTGTTTGATCGTTTCCGCATGTGTATTGTTCTCCGATTTGGGTTTTGGGTCGGCGACGCGTCCTGGGACGTCGCACCAATACAACCGAAGAAGGATGTTGCGTGCGGTAAGGTTCAGGGTGTGACATCCCCCGTTAATTTGGTATCAGAGCAAGGTCAGCTCGATCCAACTCGGTCGAAGCCTGGAGTGATAAGGAGCAATGACCTTGGGTAGCTAAATAGGGAGACTTGTGTTCTACGTGTACCTCCAGACTATTTGATTTTCATGATTGATGATTGTTGGAAATGACCTGCAAAGTGCAGGTGCGGCAGGACCCAAGGTAGGTACACATATCTCCTTGATTGAGACCTCGTGTTGCTTGTGATTGACCGCCTACTGTGTGATTGATTGTTGTAATTCTTTGCCTTGGACCTTAGACTGGTATAATTTGGCCTAGGTCTCTAATTTCTGAATGGAATTATAGCAAGTAGGTGAGTAGTAAGAAACCCGTGAGAATGAGTAGAGGAATGGGGACCTGAGGACAATCGAGTGCGTTGGGCCAAGAGACGAGAGACCCGAGGCTTGATGCTGTCATTCAAACACTGCAGGAAATAGGAAACTTGATGGGAAGGCAGGCTCAAGAGAGGGCTGCCAATACTGCCCAAGCTGCTGAGGCCGCAGCAAATGCTGCTGTTAATGGTAATCAGGCCAATCAAGGGCAGGCTCAGGTAGTTGCGAATAGGCAAATGCACCAATTGGTGGAGCAGTTTTTGAAACTAAAGCCGCCGAAGTTCGATGGAAAAGGTGACCCCGAGGCCGCGCCGCGTTGGGTGGACGAACTGGAGAAGGCCTTTGAAGTCCTGGGGTGCACCGAAGTTGAGAAGGTGACCTTGGCTGTGTATCAGTTGCAGAAGAATGCCAGTGACAGGTGGAAGGCCACCAGGGGGAGAGTATTCCCCGAGGGTACTGCCCAGACTTGGGCTGTGTTCACTGAAAATTTCTATGGGAAGTACTTCTCAGAGAGTGCCAGGGAAAGGAAATTAGCGGAGTTCATGAGACTTTGCCAAGGATCAATGACAGTAGATCAATATGAGGCGAAATTCGCAAGGCTATCGAAGTTCGCGCCAAGGATGGTGGAGGACCCACTAGATAAGGTCCGAAGGATCTGGGATGGGCTGAAGCCGGACCTTCGAAGCCAGATGATCTCATTGAATATCCGAGATTAGAAATGTATGAGCGAGCTCAGGCGATAGAGCGGGATCAGATGGATAGGGCCGCCGCTTCTGGATCGCGGTTTACCCCGGCTAAGGACAACCGCCGCTTCAGGAAGAGGCCAATGGCGGGAAATAGGCGTTTTGTCCCTCCCGTTAAGAAGAACATCGGGAAGCCGAACTATTCTCAGAACCGATTTGGGACATGTTTCAAGTGTGGGAGCATGGATCATCAGATAAGACATTGCCCTCAACAATGTCCAGCAGGACCGCCCATGCAATCTCAGCCGCCCCGGATGGGAAATCAGACTGGAAATCCCCCACCGGCTATTCAGGGTAGACCGCCAGTCCAAGGAAGGGTGTATGCCATGGCGAGAAGGGAGGCTGAGGACACGCCAGGCGTGGTCACAGGTACGGTCTCTCTTTGTTATCATGCTGCGTATGCCTTGTTTGATCCGGGAGCATCACACTCGTTTATATCGGAACAATTTGTTAGATTGATTGGGATAGAGTCGATTTTGCTTGAAGTAATGCTTTGTGTGATGACCCCGCTGAATGATAAGGTGTTAGTCTCCTTAGGGTGTCCTGACTGTAAGATAGTAATTGGGGATAGATAGGAAAGGATAGACTTGGCGGTGTTAATCATGTTCGATTTTGATGTGATTGTCGGAATGGATTGGCTAGTTAAGCAAAAAGCCGTGATGGACTGTAGCAGTAAGGTGATCCAATTCAATCCGATTGGACACCCTAGATTCGAATTTATGGAAAACCGAGGAGGAACCTCGATCCCTTGGATTTCTTCATTGGAAGTAACCAAGTTGTTGGATGAGGGATGTGAAGGGAATTTGGTAAACGTCGTGGATTCGACGGTTGTGGAGCCAAGATTAGAGGACATACCCGTGGTGTGCAATTTTTCCAAAGTCTTTCCTCAGGAATTACCGGGTTTGCCACTAGAAAGAGAAGTGGAATTCGTAATAGAGTTGGCCTCTGGAACCGAGCCAATCTCGAAGGCACCGTATCGGATGTCTCTGTCAGAATTGAAGGAGTTAAATGTCCAGATGCAAGAGTTGCTGGACAAGGGTTTTATCCACCCAAGTGCGTCTCCATGGGGAGCGCCGGTGCTGTTTGTAAGGAAGAAGGATGGAACATTGAGGTTGTACATAGACTACAGGCAGTTGAACCAGGTGACTTTCAAGAATAAGTATCCACTGCCGAGAATTGATGACATGTTCGATCAGTTGCAAGGAGCTTCAGTATTTTCTAAGATCGATCTACGGACAGGGTATCATCAGTTGAGGATTAGGAAAGAGGATATACCTAAGACGGCTTTTCGGACAAGATATGGGCATTACGAGTTCATAGTGATGCCTTTTGGTTTGACTAATGCCCCCGCTGCCTTTATGGATTTGATGAATCGGGCATTTAAGGAATTCTTAGATCGATTTGTTATAGTTTTCATCGATGACATATTGGTGTACTCGAAAAGCCCGGAAGAGCATGAGGTACATCTAACTGAAGTACTACGGACCTTAAGAGAACACTTACTCTACACCAAATTTAGTAAGTGCGAGTTCTGGCTCAACCGAGTGGTGTTTCTTGGACATATAATTTCTGGAGATGGAATTTCAGTGGACCCGACTAAGATTGAGGCAGTGACCAAGTGGCCAAGACCGACGTCAATAACGGAGATTCGGAGTTTCTTGGGTTTGGCAGGGTATTACCGGCGTTTCGTAGAAGGATTCTCGTCAATAGCCATGCCGTTAACACGGTTACTCAAGAAAGAAGCGAAGTTCGAATGGGACGATAAGTGTGAGAGGAGTTTTCAGGAACTAAAGCATAGGTTGACGACTGCCCCGGTGTTGACTATTCCGTCTGGGCCAGGAGGATTTGAAGTCTACAGTGATGCGTCATTAAGAGGACTTGGGTGTGTATTGATGCAACATGGAAGGGTGGTTGCGTATGCGTCACGTCAATTGAAACCGCACGAAATGAATTACCCGACTCATGATTTGGAATTGGCTACGATCATCTTCGTCCTTAAGATTTGGAGGCATTATTTGTGCGGGAAAAAGTTCTAGATTTACACGGATTATCAGAGCCTCAAGTATTTGTTTTCACAGAAGGAATTGAATATGAGGCAGCGTCGTTGGATGGAACTCCTCAAGGACTACGATTGCGACATCTTGTATCACCCTGGGAAGGCCAATCGAGTGGCAGATGCGCTAAGTCGGAAGTCGAGTATGGCACATATGATGGTCAAGGAATGGACTTTATTGGAAAGGATAAGAGATTCAGAGTTTAAGTTTGAGGTGAGCCATGTGTCGAATCTATTTGCCGCATTGAAGATCGAACCGGAAATTCAAACCAAGATTAAGGCATTGCAATCTACGAACCAAGAAATTCAGAAGATAGTGGAAATAGACGCCGTCAAAAGAAAACCAAATTTCCAAGTATTCGAGAACGGGATTTCGAAGTTCCGTGGACGATTGTGCGTGCCCGACGATGTGGAACTTAAGGAGAAAATTTTGAAGGAAGCTCATCGCAGTAATTATCGCATTCATCCGGCAGTACAAAGATGTATCAGAACCTGCGGCAACATTACTGGTGGAATGGGATGAAAACGGATGTGGCCAAGCATGTGGCAAAATGTCTGACCTGTCAGCAAGTAAAGGCGCAGCATTGTAAGCCTGGAGGACTTCTGCGACCATTGGATATCCCCGAATGGAAATGGGAACATATCACGATAGACTTTGTCACGAGATTGCCAAGAAGCCAGAAAGGACACGATTCGATTTGGGTGATAGTGAACAGACTGACTAAGTCAGCGCACTTCCTGACGGTGCGAAAGGATTTTGAGTTGGAAAGGTATGCAAAATTGTATGTACGACAGATTGTCCGACTGCATGGAGTGCCAGTAACGATCACTTCGGACCGTGATCCCAGATTTACTGTCAATTTTTGGAAAAGTCTGAAATCGGCCTTAGGGACGAAGCTTCAGTTTAGTACGGTCTATCATCCACAGACGGATGGCCAGTCAGAGAGGACGATCCAGACTTTTGTAAGACATGTTGCGTGCATGTGTGTTGGATTTCCAGGGCAAATGGGAACAACATTGCATTTAGTCGAGTTCGCCCACAATAATAGTTATCAACAGAGTATTCCGATGGCACCGTTTGAGGCATTATATGGCAGAGCATGCAGAATGCCAATGTGTTGGGATGAAGTTGGGGAACGGAGTATAACGGGTCCAGAATTGGTGCAACAGACAGTTGAGGCAGTCGAGATCATTCGGGAAAGGTTAAAGACAGCACAGAGCCACGAGAAAAGTTATGCCGATCGGAGACGGAGACCTTTGGAGTTTCAGGTGGGTGATCATGTTTTTCTTAAGGTATCGCCAATGAAAGGACTGTCCCGATTTGGCAAGAAAGGAAAGTTGAGCCCGAGATATGTCGGTCCATTCGAGATTTTGGAGAAGATTGGAGATCTGGCCTATAGGCTTGCCTTGCTGCCTAACTTGTCCCAAGTGCATAACGTATTCCACGTGTCAATGCTGAGGAAGTATGAACCGGACCCGACCCATGTGCTGAGATACGAAGAAATAGACGTGGACGACAAGGTGTCGTACGTGGAAAGGCCAGTGAGGATTGAAGAAAGAAAGGATCGGGTGCTGCGAAACAAAACGATCCCGATGGTCAAGGTTGTTTGGGAGCACCATGGAACCGAAGGTGCCACCTGGGAAAGTGAAGAAGCGATGCGACGTCAATACCCCTAGTTGTTTGAGTAGATGGGTTTGGGTCGTAAATTTCGAGGACGAAATTTTTGTAAGGGGGGAAGAGTTGTGACATTCTGAATTCGACCCACTTCCGGGATCAATGAAATAGATGTGTATTTCTCATTTCGTTTTAGTAAGTCTCGCCTGGAGTTGATCACTCTCGGGATACTGACCCATAGGGAATGGCTAACTAGGAAAATGGTACATGGAACCAAAAACTGGACCGCGAATCGAGCTTCAATTCCGACGAACGACGAGGGAATATTTTGGGCCAATGCGGGCCGATTCAAGGAGGGCGACGGATCTGGTTTGCCAATGACGTACAATCGGATTCGCGGGTAATTCCGCACGACCGAGAGTATGCATGGTGACCGATCCTAAACTTACTCCGAACAATCGTGACCCCCGGAACTAGCGATAAATCCTCGTGTTCTCTTGGAAATCGAGACCGTCACAACTCGAGTGACCCTAGGTCGATATGCGTAACCCCTAAAAAGTCGCCCGTTAGTAAGAGACGCTAAAATCGCATTTGAGCGAAATTGATCGTTGAGTTGAATCCGGACTTGAGTGTCGAATTTCACGGACGTACGCGACTAAATTGCAAGGACGACATCGTATTAGTGTGGCCAATCATATTTGGGATCGGTATGGTCGATAAATAGAATTTTGGACTGGGAGTGGAAAATTACCGTTTTGCCCTTGGACCCTAAGCCTTAATTCCGAATTATTAGAGGGTATTTTGGACTTGTTCAGTCCTATTAGTGGCCAAAAATGTTGGTCAATAAAACCCCATCACTCTTGCTCATTCCCCATTTCACCCTTAGATATTTTGATCTAGAATGAATCCTAGCCCTTGGTTTTGGATAGGATTGATTGGTATTTGAATCTTGGCCATTTGATTAGAATTATAGTGTAGTGGGTAGTCTTGTACTTGCTAGGGAGTTGGTCACCTAACCCACTCAAGCATTTTTTATCAAAACTCTCTCTCTCTTTCTCCCCCTTCACTCCCCCCATTCGGCCGACCAAGCCCTCTCACCCTCTCCATTTTCTCTCTTCCTCCTTGGCCACGTGAAAAAGCCAGCCCCGCCGGAGCAGCCCAAGCCGCGGCTATGCCGTCGCCGCCGGATCCGCCAGCCACGCCACCACCTTACACACACCACCACCACTCGGCCACCTCACCCTCGCCATCTCTCCTTCTCTCTCTCTTGCATTTCGACACACCACCACCACCGATCAGCCGCCT